ATGTCCCCCCTCAGTCTCCTTTGCTTGAGGCTGAACAGATTTAGCTCAAATAACCTTTCAATGGAGGCAGGTTCAGCCCTACCTCTGTGTTCACGTCCAGAGAGTTTTCCAGAAGGCTGATGTAAGAAATGGCAGGGGCAATTCAGAGGCTGCTCGTAACAGGCAGGAAAGCAGACCGCAATCCCACAATTCAATTATGTGCTCCAGAGTGACCATCTGACGCCTGGGACAGAGCCTGTGTGTGTGTGTGTGTGTGTGTGTCGGAAATCGGAAGGCTGACCATCTCCCTCCCTCCCTGCCTCCAGAGCGCAAGCCGCCCGCTGCCCCCGCCCCGCCCGCCGAGCCAGAGCCGGCCCCAGCCAGCGAGCCCCCAGAGACTCCCAAGGCGCCAGCCCCTCCCCCTCCGCACACGGCTCCGGTCCACCAGCCGCCGCCGCTGCCTCAGCCGCACCGGCCGCCCCCGCCGCCGCCCTCCAGCTACATCATGGGCATGTCCACCTCCAGCTCCTACATGTCGGGCGAAGGCTTCCAGAGCCTGCAGTCTATGATGAAGACGGAGGGCCCCACCTACAGCACCATGCCGCCTGCGTATGGACCCCCGCTGCACGTGTACCCGCCCAACCCGCACGTGTACCCGCCCAACCCGCCCCCTCCTGGGCCCCCGCCACCCCCTTCACCGGCCTACCCCCCACCGCCACCTAACCTTCCGCCCCCTTCCCCTGCTTACCCACCACCCGGGTACAACCACAACTACCCACCGCCCCCTCCGCCACGCATGCCGCCTAGCCACGCCGTGCCCCCTCCGGGGATGGGCATCCCGCCAACCAGCTACCCGCCACCGCCCGGCCCTCCTGGTGGCCAACCCCAGGTGCCCCTACCCCCCATGCCTCCGGTCGGTGCATTGAACCGGGGGGGCTGGATGAGATGAGGGGGCGTGGATCCAAGACTGGGTCCAGTTTGCTTCCCAAAGGTGGTATTGAGCCCCTTTGGGAAAATCTATGTCCACAGCCCCCGTGGACAAATCCTGAGGCTCCAGGCTGAGGAACAACCAGAAACCCCACTTTGGCCTCACATTTGGGTTTTATTTTTTTTTTATTTTTTTTGGGGGGGGGTGTTGTTTGTCATTCCAGCTGTTCCAGTAGTTTTTTTGTTTCTATCATTTTTAATTTTACGTTTTTTCTCATCGGAATGCTGTTTTCCCCGCTTTGCACTCTACAGAGGTTTGGTCAAGTGAGAATGGCAACCTCATTCTCACCTTGCCCTCCCCAGGAGACGCCTCACCTGCATTTTTATTTCTCAAAAAAGAGAGCTGTGTTACACAGTTTGACTCCTGGCAGGAAACCATAGGGCAACCTGAAGTGTAGAAATATATTTTTTCATCTCCAGTTTTTCTTTCATCTTAATAGTAAACCTCTCACCACTGCTCTACACTGCTGAGAAAACGTTTGCTTGAGACTACTGCGTCAGATACACGAATTGGTGTGGGAAATAATGTAGGCTAAAGCTTTTTTGTAAATACTGAGAATGTGAACGGGGGCAGTATTGCAGCCTTTTATCAGTGTATGGTCCAGCTGTTCCAGGAAGGGGCACTCAGAGGCTCTGTACAATAGTCCATCTCAAATGAATGACACATTAAAAACCTTTTCCTTGCATTTCACTTTGTGTCTGCGTGATCTGTTGGCAGAAAAATGTGTGATCGGTCCACATGACCTGTAGCAGTTTGGAGAGGCAGAGTTTCACAGTCTGCTCTTCTGCTTGCACATCGCTTATGGGAGTTTTACTTACACAAAAATATTCTATATTTTATCTATATAATGAAAAATGATTGGTTCAGAGAGAGAACCAGTCAGATTGTAGTGGAGGTGGGTTCAAGCAATGGGAGGAGGCTGGACCAACCAATCAAATATTTTTGCCCCGCCTCCTCTACATTCCAATTGGTTCAGACTCTACATTATGATTGGTTCATTTTTCATTGTGCCCTTAGAACATTTTTGGTTAAGTGAAACAAAAAGCTTTCACATGCTGCTGTGTTGCTCTGCTGTTTCTGTGTGCCTCTTTACCAAAGCCAGAAAACGTCCGCTTTACCAAAGCAGTAATGATGATTTTACCAAACTTCAGCCACACTGCCATGGAAAAATGCCTATTTACTATGAATATTCTCAACCGTTTATTATTGTTAAAATGCTGCTTGTTTTCAACTATTTGTTTAAATGTACATTATAAAATTAAATCTCAAGTGGCGTCCCATAAATCACCCATGTGGAAATTAATGTGGTTATTCTCAGTCTGGCCACCAGGGGGGAGTAGTCGTTCACCACAAAGAAATCAGGCATGGCTATACAACAACTTTACTGAGACATAGAAAATATACAAACTACAAAGGAAGTATTTATTTCCAAAAGCACCTAAATGTGGCCTATCCAATGTTTTATATATTTTTAAATCTTGCTAAAAATATCGATCCAGTTTCAGCTAGACACATTTGTGAAAAATAAGGGGTTACAGAGGCATGCTAGTTACTCTGCACGAGTCGGCATTGACAAAGCATCGCAGATGCGGGGGTTCAGTTCACACATTTACAGAGACTTAATAAACAGAGCTTCCAAATCGGGGCCTTATCCGCAAACGAGCACGCCACGTCTTGGTGTGTTAAAAATCATTAAAAGCATTTTGTATCCAAATCGTATAAAAATCAGATTTATCATCATCATTTAAAAAAGGTCACTTTTGTCCATAATTAAATTTTCAAAGTAGTTCGCAATGTCTTCATATAGGCGTATTCGTATATGATCACGTGTTGCGCTAATTTGGAAGTCCTATGTGATTAACACTCACATTTTCACATCTGGAAATACCTAGATTTTCTGTTTTTCAATACTGGTTCATGTATCCCCACACTGAAAGTAACGCTTCAAATAATGACTTCCACCTGCATCATTCGATGGTTAATTAATGTCTTACTCTGCTGTATAATGTATAATGTGGCTAGAGAATTAAGCACTAAGAACGTATTCATTTTTGATGAAAATGTTATATATTGCATTATCTTGTATAGCTATCATTTACACCTAATTTAGGAGACATAAAGTGACAAATCAGGTGGACAGAGGAACCTAGCATATGTCCAACCTTCTGTATCATTAAAAAATATATATTCAATACAATAAATTGCAAAAAAAAAAAGCTTATACGGTAAAAATCAAGATGATGTCATCTTGATTGAATCAATATGCACATTGTCATTCAGGCAATCTGTCAATGCTGAAAAAATTACATCTATTTTGTATCTTGACACTGCGTGGTCGCCGGTCTTTTCAGTGTGGTAGAACGTGGCCCCCCACCTGTTTGGTGAACAATTTTGTCTGGGGATACAGGAACTACTGATTGCTTGTTTGTCATTTTCCCTGGTTTGGGCTTAGCCCATGTGCTTTTTAAACAAATGATACAAAATAACAATGAATGATAACATGATACAAAATAACAATGAATGATAACATGATACAAAATAACAATGAATGATAACACGGCCCATAGGGCCACCCTATAATACAATACAAATAGCGAGGGTAAAGTAGTGCACTATGGCTTTGTACATCTTTTACACTTTTATCACTACAGCTCTCTTCTGTTAAACGTCTGTTTAAAGGTGATTTCTACTTTTAGAAAATACTTCATTCTCAGGCATAGGGAGCTATATCATCATAGGTTTCACAAACAAACCCTTAGCTATTATTCAACCAGGAGAAAACCAACACAATAAAGAGTTCCTCCGCACTAAGAGCGATGCATGTCATTTTCACTGCGTCACTACAATGCTGCTCCGTGGTTGGGAGGAATATGCACTGGACTGCGTCTGCGCAACACTGTACAAACCTAAACTGCAAGCACTGTCACCAGCTGCACTGAGGAAAGGTTCGACACAAATGCAGAACGGAGTTAAGTGTGTATGCTTCCGGAAGATGTCACATATCAAAAGCTAGATGCCTGTTTTAAATACTTTGCAGGTAAATTAAAATGAAACAAAAAAAAAATTTGGCTCTTGATTGAATATGGGCTACGTGTGTTAGCCGTTCATTGGGCGGGTGAGGATCCAGCAACGGTCTTGGGGGAAGCTTTTCCATGGTAAGCTGGCAGCATTTCATGGTGCGTGGACCCATACCCGTCCCCTGCTGTCCTTGGAGACTGGGGTCTTCCCACTACAAAGGGCCCTTGAACTGGTTTCCGGAGAGGTGCTGCCGGATGGATGGCTTAGACCCTGCAGCATCGCCCAGCTTGCGCCATACCACCTGGGAATGGACATGTGCAACAGTCATATTGAGATTATGGCGTGCTAACCTTAACCACATGCTAACCGCAGGCATGCTAACCTTAACCGCATGCTAACCTTAACCGCATGCTAACCTTAACCGCATGCTAACCTTAACCACATGCTAACCGCAGGGCATGCTAACCTTAACCGCTTATGACCAAAGTTCAGGAGGGGCCTTCTGGTGATTCCTAAAGAAAGATCTGTAACCTGGGCTTTCTCAAAATGCATCAGACAAATACAAAATAGACCTGCCCCGCGATTTGTAAACCTATTCTTTTCTCTAAATTTGGTTTCCATTATATCTTAAGAGAAAATTGCTACCTTCTCAAGATCAACACGAGTTCATTCAATGATAAGGATTCAGGTCAGTATAAATGGTATTTGAAGGTAGAAAGGTTTGGTACTAATTCTTCAGGTTTGTGACAATTTGGATATTTTTACATCAAGGGACATACGTAGTAAATAACGGGATCTGTTTTAATTAAAGAAAAGGGCAGTTCAGTGAAAATATGAACAGTGCAGCCGCATGGTACGAAGGGATGTAATTACGCTCCGAGGCAACACTGGCTAAGAAGAATCATCACACTGTTTCTCGCTGGCTTTCATATGTGAGGGTTTGTAAGTCGTGCTCCGCATGGTGTCTGCTGCAGAGAACGCGGCCCGTTTGCGAGAACAAAGGGGCCGTTGTGTGGGCCCAGGGTTCTACGCCCCGCTGCACCCTCACATCTGCGGAGAGGCTGTCTCAGGCTTGGGGGAGGGGGGGCAGGCCTGAGTCAAGCCAGCAGTGTGAACAGGTTTTTTTTTTCAGTCTCAACGTGGTATTTTAATTGCGCCTGTAACAGGACCGTCTCTCAATTAGAGTGCAGTGAATGGCTGCATTTATTTACAGCGCGGGAATGGGAGGGGTGTCCCACTTCAGGGACTCTGAAACCCCCCCCCCAAGTCGATACTCTGTTAGTATGGGACCATTATTAGTGCTGACCAAATGAATCCAGGTGAAAGGCGAAGTGGCGAAGATGAGGAAGAGATATACCCGACGTACATTGCACATCTCCCGGACGATTGCCTTCTCCTTCTCGCTGAGGTCGTCCTCGTAATCCTCGGGAATCTGCTTGTCCAGGTTCTCGTGGACTTCGAGGACCTTCGAGGGAAATGAAAGCCAGGTGGCAATATCACACAACCGAGAAACCTCGAGAAACAACAAAACCAAAACGAGCTCTGCTTCAACTGAGTCAAATATTAGAAGAAAAAATGTGACTATACACTTAGAACTGATGAACAGCTGAATCATGGCCCATGTATATGTAGGTATTTAGTTAGACAATGACATCGTGCAAAAGTCTGGTGAATTTAGTTCACTACAAGCTGAAGATTATTCACATTGTGTGTTATATGTGGTGAGTATCACATATTCACAGGGGCCTACCTTCATGGCATGGACCACAGCCTCTGGTTTCTGTACTGGAGGGTGATAGCTGGTCGTGGGGGAGGAGTCATTCGCAGGAATGTGGGCGGGACCCTGAGGGTGGGGGAGGAGCTTGATTACCACATGCCCCCTCACACTGGATCCCTCTCATCAAGCCACAAACAAACATCATTGCGGATGCAGGAACCCTCCGCCACTCTATTATGAGACATGGCCTGTTAAAGTGGTTAATTGCTTCTTGCTATGAAATTAGCATTGGATTTGGAAGGGAGGATACAAAAGCAGCAGGTGCAGAAGCAAAGCTGAGGGAACGTCTGTCTCTGAAGTGAAACGGCTTCACAGAAAGTGACGACGCGGCTGCCTGACAAGGACCAATCCGCCTGATTCATCACCTTGCTCACATGACTCACAGCAATACAAAAATAACTTTACAATCTGAACACCTCATACCCAGTCCAATCTGACAGATGAAAAGATTTATATTAAATCATTTATTTTCACACCAGTTCCCAAAGGCAGTATTTGAGAGCAAAACATGTTTTTACAGTTTTAACATTTCTTTTATTATTTGTTTCAAATTTAGGATGAAGTCAGCTTCCAGAGGTTTGCCATGAGTTCATTTCCCGAAAAGGCTGATTATCCGCTCTGATAAAATCCTCCGCGGCACACAAACACATTCCCTCCCCTGTCCAGCAGGGGGCACAGCGTGGAGCATCTCCACAAAGAGGCATTCATACGGCATCAGCCACTGTTTGGCTGTAGGCCTCACATCCTAGTCTAGCGTTAAATCCCAAACAATTGGCTGGCATTCTGCTGCTGGTGGCCCCAGCGACCTCTGTGCTGAGCCTGGCATTCTCCTGTAGAACATGCCGTTCCATTGGCCAAAACCGACTGGCTCAGGAGGGTAAACAGGGCTGTTTCCCAGTACCGATGCCTGGGAGCCAATTAGGGGGCCCCTTCTTCCGAATGAGGAAGCTGAACAGCAAGTGTATTATTTTGCTATGTTATTGCAGAAAATTATTTCCCCGCCCTGTGAGCCCAACGTGACTCTAGGACAGAACAACAAGACAACAATATCAAGAGAGGCCTTCAGATTAAGTTGCCATAACATTTTGCTGATGGGACATGAAACATACAGCCTGGAAGCTCCATGAATACCTCTAGCAGTCAAGAGTCGCAAAAAACTGAACAGTGTTCACAGCCATATGGAAACGGCGGCAGGTGGCAAAAGTAGGGACGTGCACCTGTGATTCAGAAGGCAGCCACCTGTGGAACCACTGAGTAGCACCTAACAAAATGCCCATTCATCGTTTCAGCATCTGCTAAACAGCTTATCGCATACCATACAGGCCACAAGTTACCAGACACCTATTAATGGCTGCCATCCCCCACCTTCAGACAACGGGTCTCTATCTCAGTGAAGAGAGGCTTTAAGGGTGGTCAGCGGGACGTTAGCTTTGGTAGAGGACTGCGATTCATACGACAGGATCATACTCCGCTGAAGGCACCAGCGTTTGTGTCATTAGCATCCACTGCGCCTCAGAAATTATGGAGCATTAGTACTTTATGAACTGGCACGTCCTGAAAGCACCCCCCCGCGCTCCGTTACCAAGGCCGGGATTGGGTGCTCACTGCAGGGACAAGCAAGCATGATGGGGATGAAACAGACAAGCAACAATAACTGCCACCTGCACAAAGAGGGACCAGCTCTAGATGTTTTCCGAGAAACCTCATTAGGAGACCATGCTATCAATTTTTTGAGTTGAGGGCTTGACCTCTTCCGTGCTCAATTAAATAAATATACGTGTTTTCTGTGAGATTGAAACAGCACTAAATAGAAATGCGAACCTACTGTTTAACAATCTAGGTCTAAGCTAGCCTTTGTCAACTCAGCAGGTCATTAACATTACTGTTAGCAGGGTTATTCCATTTCACGAATACTAGCACTTACAAACGTGGTCATGCTAAGCAGCTACAGCAATACAGCTAACTATAGCTACTTAGCAAATATTTTATTTGTTTAAAATGCTATTTGGCTATACACAAGCATACTCAGCAAATTTACATCTTATTCCCAAACAATAAATATCTGATGACTTGGAATTGTTATTGTAATTTGTTTCGATGATCCGTTACATGTAATTATCCACACTGCAGGAGTGTGTGCATATTTTAAATTTAATTTGAATAACAGATGAGGCCTGGAAGAAGAATCAGAGGTCCCCCCCCCTCCCACAGTGGGACCAGGTCAGCTACACACTCAGTTCAGGAGGTTTGCCTGGTCCATTTACTTCTGATGATAACTTTTTGACATATGCATATAACACTCTAGCCAATCAGTCCAAAGACGATAAGATGAGGAAAAAGATAAACATTAATTTTGCACCTTTCCTAAATCCCCAAGACTGGGATGGTGGTGGCTTCAGTAGCCAAGGAACCAGTGGATGCAAAGGGAAGACGATGACCAGCATTTTCACCTGACCCAAGTGTTTCTGCATTCATCAACGACAGCTTCATGCTGACATTAATACCAGCTTTTCACTTTCCCAAATAGTCTACACTAATCCCTTTCTATACATGCTATGCAAGGAATGAACATGGAGCAGAAAGCAGCATGATTTGAGCACGCAGCCCAAGGGTATGAATAACCCAGGAATTCTCGGAATAATTGAATAATTCTCTGTTTTTTATCAAATCCTGCATCAAAACCAGAAAGATGAAACGCAGCAACCGCATACGAGCCAGAAGGCTGTACTCTACCAATCCACATGCATGCAAAAGGCAACTGCAGTTAATGCAAAGAGTGATTTCTGATGTGCATGCATGCTGAAGAGAGATCATTGTCAGTCTGTGCACTCTCAGCACAGACTTGGGAAGGGGCACATTTTACAAGGAGTGATATTTATAGTAATATCTAATCAAAGTGTTTTCGGAACATGGCAGCTGTGGTTTCTGCTGTCTAAATTTCTCTGTCCAGCTGCCTCTGATGATAAACGTCATTTCCATGGGAACACAGTTGTAGAACATGCATCCAAAAAGAATTAAAATCAAGCCGTCCAATATCCTCATTTTTGTTACTGAAAAGCAGAAAACGTCTGATAGACGTTTCAGCCTAATTCTTAGCCCATCATTCAGTGTTATTAAGTTGCCAAATAAAAATCACTTCTCAGTGAAATGACAAATATTTGTATTTCGAGAATGTGGAAGACATATTTATTCCTGGGTTGTTATGATCTGGAAAAAAGCAACTCGGATTATGTCATTAGTTCCAACGTCTTCCAGCGGTAGCAAACAGACTGGCTGTCAGGAGATAATAGTACTATGACAGACCTTGGGGAAACTGTGCCAATAACCTAACAATAAAATCCATTCCTCCTTGTGGGAAGGGCAATCGCTCATCCTCGCACCACTCAGTAGCGGGGAAGTGCATACCAGGACCTCTGTGCCAAAATACCTGCACGTTGTAGGCGTAGGTCACAACAATCGACAAATTTCCCCCATAGGCCACGAAGTCAAGACAGTGGCACCCATCTCCAGGCCGAGTCAGCAGGTCAGGTTTTCCCGCCCAAATCTCACCAACAGAGGTTTGTTATGTCATGTGCGCTGGTATGATAGCTGGCATGAAGGATTTTGGGTTTATCAGACTCTAGACTCGTGAGCGATTGTATGGACTGCTAACTGAACAACACAGCACCTGGGTAAAGCCCAACTTGTTTGCCATGTAAATCATTCATCTAACCTTGGACAGCAGACAGCCTAATGACTTTCCAGCTAACTAGATTCTTGTATTCTACCTTAAAGTCTACAGTAAATAGCAACTTACACTAAATGAGGCATAAAATATTCATGTAACTTTGGATTAAAGTATCTACCAAGCTACTGATCATAGATGCGTCACAAGGAAGAAGAGGAAAGTCCTTCCAGAGAGTCGTACATCGAACGGAATCACGGGATAATGCAGGTAAAGTGGGAAACAGGGAGCGCCATCTGACCTGGCCGTCACTCAACTAGTTGCTGTACTTGGCCATTACGCCTCTGTTGCGTTTCATACCGTGTCCAAGCACGTTTCACCCCCAAGGTCCAGTTCGATTGGCTAGGGTGATCGCTCCGTACCGTGCCCGGGCCCGCTTGAAGAGGTGGGCCCTGGAATGGTTCAGCTGAACTGGGGCACAGTAGGCATCCAGTGTGTTCGCTAACCATGCCTGAGCAGGGAACGCAGACCTGATGTCGACGATGTGACTGATGTATGCATGTGCACATGTACATTAATCGGACCCACAAGAAATGGATCAGGTAGGCTGTTCAGGTCGCAAAGCTGTGTTGCAAAAAAAATTAAATAAAAAATGACACGTACAGATTGGGTAACAACAAACATTTAACAAACGTGGTGGCAAGAGATTACTTTGGTCTACGGCAGAGGTGCAATGTTTGCTGGAAATATAGGCTAATGGGAGTATCCAGGAACAACTACATGCAACACACACAATATTTGATAAAATATTCTTATACATTCATCACTAATGAATAAAAATCGCTGCGTTTCATAACTCTATGAGAGCTGTGTACCATCACACCCAAAACTACCCCAAATAAGCCACAAAATAAGGACATTAATCATAAACTCCTCTGGGCTGTGAGAAAGCGTACTACTTCTTGTATTTTCTTCAGCAGAAAAAGTGTCACGGTGATGACAAAAGCGTGTTCAGGCCCACAAAGTGAGTGCAGACCCAGGAGGGGGGAAATGGGGAGGGGAGAAAATCTTGCTCAGACACGGTACAAGGCAACTGGGTCAAGTGTGAGTATGTCCTAAGTGCATGTCGCTGAGGGCTGTTTTTAAGGCAACCAAGGGCACGTGATGGCATGTGTCAACCTCAGGGAGCCGCCGGAGGGTCACATGTCAAGCGGAAAGAGTGAGCTCCCCCTAGATGTAGCCGCCGCCGCTGCTAATTATACTTAAATCTTATCCAAATTGGCTCAGAGGGATACATTTTTTCAGCCTCAGATATTTTTACGCCTTTCTTCCCAAAGTCAGCACATATAAAAAAAAATAAAATCTACAGTTACCCGTACTGCTAAGTCAAAAATAAATAAAAATAGCTTGGTTTTATCTGACAGTGAAGGCCCTCAGTAAGGGAAAACACAGAAAACAAAACCAGCGTGGATCTTTCATCGAAAGGTAAAAGGAATCAGTACCTCATACATTCAGGGTAATCCCAGGACACTGAAGTCCATTGAGTCTAGTGGGATCTGGTCTTTAACTTGTAGCTATTGAGATTATCACTGTACTGAGTGTTATATTTCACTGCATGGCTTTGAAGTAGGGGTTCAATTTACAGTTAAAGGTCAGCTATACTGGGTCAACCAGAAGAAGACCTGTAGCCCCTTGCCGAAGTGCAGTTATGCTCTTGCATGCAGATAATAAGACCTTTAATCCCTTCTTAACATGTGAGTCACCCTCTATCTGTCCCTGGACATTGATTATGCAGTCATACATATATTATACCACCTACAATAACATACTTGTGAGCACTGAGGACTGGTGAACCATAGCTAGTATGTAGATGTACCCCAAATGCAGTCTCTTCTAACAGTGGTACCTACGTTGTGCAGGGTGTCCTGGTGTTGGGGCAATGAAGAGAGCTGGGACTCAGAGTGGTAAAGAGACAGGCCTTTCCGCAGGGTCCTCAGCTCCCCAGGGTTACACTGCAGTGAAAGCAGAGAGACAGAAAGTGAGCCAGACATCACCCACCCAGGTTGATTTCTCAAAGCTCCTCTCAACTCATACACAAGGAGCACCGAGATGCCGGCACCATCCCAAGAGGCCGGAATGAATCACAGCCACGCACACACACACACACACACACACACACACACACACACACACAATACAGTGAATGAACCCAAAGTACAATCCGGTGAGTGAAGATTCAACGTGTCCCCAAGAGCCAGCCAATCACGGCTCTGCCTGAGGTTCCCTCATCAACCTCAGCAATAATGTGACATTTTGAAGCATCAGCTTCTGCCATCTGGAGTCAGGGTATTCATTTCCATTCCCCAAACAACCAGGATCATATGTGCCCCCCAGTCATTACAGAACCCCTGCATGCCATACCAGTTTGAGAACCACTGACTAAGCTGCAGTCCATCCATCTATGTTCTATACTTGCTTGTCCTATGCAGAATCATGGGGATTCGAATCCTATCCCGTAAACTATGGCCGTCAGGTTGGGGACAATCCAGCATGGGGCGCCAACCAATCGCAGGGCAGTAAGCTATAGTGTTAATACAAAATCACAGCGTTTCCCGACCCTCGTCTCCAGTTCACGACCAGGATGGCCCACCGGGAATTCTGCTGATTGGCCCATAAAAGGAACAGGAAGCCAGAGCAATAAAGGGGAAAATATGAGGACAACCATGTTATATACATCAGTGTCCCCTCCTCACGCACACACACACACACACACACACACACACACAGTGGTAGCTATCCAGCACAGGGCAGGCTTGGCCCACAGTTTCTGAGTTTTTGGGCAGGGATGGGGGGTATGGTATTTCTCCACATCTGCTACATATTAGACATCCATCAATTTTTCTGCTGTTTGTGAGGGGCGGAGTTAAGTATCACAAAGGCTCCAAAGCTCAACTGGGCTTCCTGAGCTCAAAATAACTTTGGGTGAATATTCCGGAAAATAACTGCACGCCTAACAGTGTCACAACATGTCTGATGCAAAATTTCAATAAAACCTCAGAATTGTTACATGAGCTGTTTTTTTCATTAAAATACTTTCAAAAGTATGCAGATTCCATGTCCTATTCATTCAGTACTTTACACGGTGCCAAACTGGGGCACATCACAAACAGCAAAGTGTAAAATGCCCAGTAATATTATCAGATCATCTGTGTGCTGCCTGTCTGTCATTCAGAGTGGTCGGTATCTCAGAGACCTCCATGTTTAGCTGCTAACAGTGGTTTATTACTGAAACTCTGCTACAGCCGTGTGCTATGATAGTCTTGCAGCCATCACAACAGCACCCTGCTATCACTGTCACACTAAATCCTGCATCCTCTTGTTTTACACGGCATGCCTATACCTCTGTTGTACAACCTGCACTATACTAACCACCAGAACCTTAAAGCAGGGACGCCCAACCAGCAATGTACGATAATGTAACTGCCGAAAAACAGAAGACTGGGGAGTGGGTTTAGTATTTCTCTCTCCGGGTCTCTACTGACCTCCAAAAACATTTCTACGGACCCCCAGGGGCTTGTGGACCACAAATGAAAACCCCTATTATTCATTTTCTTGCCATTTGTTTATAATGGATTTATTTCATAGGGGAGCAGATTGTGCCGGGAATTGTTTATTTTTCTAATGCGGGTGGATAACAAAGGTTTCAGTAAGCTTATGTCTTTTTTTATTACCACGCTGCTCTAGGTGGAACGGAGAACAGACTTATGTTACACAGAGGACAGATGAAGAAAGAGCAGTTTGTCTACTGACTGTGAGGACACTTTCCATGGTACTGAGGTACAAATGAGTAAGTGAGGCCTACCTCGTTACTTGCTGTCTCAAGAAGTGAAAACACTAAGATTTTTGTGAGGGTTGATCCAGTGTTCTCTGCCGCCCCTGGGCAGCTCTACGATCTGGATTCCATGAAGTCCAAACCTGCTGACCATTTCCATCAGACAGTTATCACTGGTGACTGGTGTGTGACTCCCCTGATGTCCCTTGAAATCTACAATGTTTATTTTTAATTTTACTGATGTTTAGGCAGAAGTTATTATTGTGGTATTATTCAGGTTCATCACCATTCAGGTTCATCATCTAGCAGGTTCATCACCTTGCCTGGTACGATGGTGTTAATTGGTCAAGTTGATGGCATAGGTGTTCCTCTTGTCTAGGTGTTCAAAGTTGGTAAGAAACATTAAAGAGTCATTGACTGACCTAATCTTCTGATATACCAACTGTAGGAGGTCCCTAGAGTCCAGACCAATGCTGCTGATGTGACCCATGATCAGTCACTCCATACACTTCATGGTCACTGAGGTTTTAAACACTGCCCTGTAGTTATTCAGACATATCACCTTCTAAGTTTTCGGCAGTGGCAGAAGTATAGTCCCCTCCAAGCACAGTGAGACAATGGAGCGACAAGGAGATAATTCAATGAAAGGAGGAACCATCTCCACTGGCTGTCTTTAGAAAACAGAAAGGGATACCATTAGGACTGGTAGCTTTTCAGGCTTTGACCTTGTTGAAAGTCCTCCACAAGTCCTGTTCAGACAGGTTCATCACACATTCTCTGGTTCATTGGTGCCTTTGGTGTTTGGGTCACAACGTGAGCTTCAAACCTTGCAGAATCATTATTCATCTCCTGGGTATTGTGACATCAGAAGCTGTAATCTGACACCTCCAACCTTTGCAGATGGTACCGGCCTGCAGGCCCTTCCTAAACCCCTTGAATCTGCACCACCACATTGTGATCCCAGCTGGTCTTTGTGGTCTATTCTGGCATTGCGGATGGTCCACTCCAGGTCATATCTAATTCTCCTGATCCACTCAAGAGCATCAGACCATTCCCTTAGTTTGCCCTTCATGTGGTCTTTGAAATCAGGATTTGTGGTTTGAAAAAGTCCTTCTCCTTTTTTGAAGGAACATAAGAGATGGATTTAACAAAAGAAGCAGAAAACAAAAACAAAAGACAGCCCTTCTTGGCATCAGAAGAAGGGACCCAGACAGCAACAAACTGGGCTTCGGCTGGTAGGAAAGATTAATACTGTGGTCAGGTATCAAGGTCCGGCTGCATTTTTTGGATGGAGAAGACAACAGAACTCAGTCTTACTGGTGATAAGCCACAGGCAAATCGAATGACTGTGCTCATCATGCAAATCAATCTACCCGTACCTTATCTTACCCCCCTCCATTTAAACTGCTAACTTTCCCACCAGAGTAACTTACCTCCTCCCTTCATTTAACCAGGCCCCACAGTTTTCGTCCCCCAAGGGCCAATAATCCAGGATGAGCAGGTTCCTCACATACGCACACACACACAGACACACACACACAGACACACACACACACAGCGCCTTTGCTGTCTGTCCGGCAGGCCGCTCGGATGACGTTGCCACGGCAGCATGACTGTCACGGCGACCTGTGGCTTGGGGCCATTCCGCTTCGGATTGGGAGATGACGTTGCCACGGCTATAAATGGATCTGGCCCGTTTATCCTAATCACCTTGCATGGAGGCTAATGGGACGGGGCTGTCATCCATCTGCATCGCGGGCCCCCTGGCACGACGTGAAGACCCATTAAACTCTGCTAACAATGGACTCGTTCCTCCCTCAAAAGCACCAGCGAGGCTTTAACTCCTAAAGAGCGAATTCCCTCCTGCTGCCTTTACAAAAGGCCCACGCACCCGTTACAAGAAATGAAACTTAGAGCCTTCTCAGAAATAACTCACTTTTCCCGTACTCCTATAGCGGCCGCTACCGGAGCTGAGCGCGGAGTTACTCTCCAAAGACACAGAGACTTTGTACAGGAGAATCTCAGCCTGAGGTGATTCCTGTCCTTTTGTAGAGAGAGGCTCATCGTTAATATCTGAATTCCTTTTCACGGTCTCTAAGTCTCTGTTTGCATGCCAGCAGGTTAGAGGACACCAGAAGTACTGTCGATTTACATTAGGATACCCGGTCAGTCAGAGGCAGGCCGATCTCCCTTCGCCAACATGTGTTCTTCTTTATGTGCTCAACCCTTGTTAGGTGGAGACATGATCAGCTTGCATGTGTGCCCCTGCGTGCCCCTGCGTCCCCCTGCGTGCCCCTGCGTCCCCCTGCGTGCCCCTGCGTGCCCCTGCGTGCCCCTGTGTGCCCCTGTGTGCCCCTGCGTGCCCCTGTGTGCCCCTGTGTGCCCCTGTGTGTGCTGCACCGTGTCACACGCAGCCTCCATCTCCAGATACAACCAAACATTTCCTTTTTTTTTTTCCATCCCCAGATACAATGATGCAGCCGGACAGCTTTGTCACCTGTCTGTGTTCCCGCTCTTCTTCGCAGTCGTCTCCCACGAATCGCATGAACACATGGGTCAAGCTCCTATCAGGTTGTAAACACGGCGGCGGAGTCCCAGGGATGAGACAGAATCGGCCTCTATGTCAGCAATCTGACGAGCCGCTGAAAGGCTCAAGGCTGGTACACTCTTTTTATCAGTGCGGCCCGGAGACCGCTGAACCCAAGACAAGTATCAAAGATGGCTGTCATGTGATCATGTGATCGGTCCACAGCAAGCACAAAGATGCTGGCAACTGACCAATCACCAGCTACGTTCACAAACGATAAAAAAAACATCTGACCTTGCCCTGGGACGCATAAGAACAACATGGGTCTTTTTCTGTGCTGTGCCCTGCTAAAGAGGCCAAGGATTAAATCACTTCCTCCTTTAGGAATTCCAGCTGGTGCAAGGAAACATAAGTTTACAATCAGCTCTGGTGGTGGGGGGGGGGGGTGTTGCATAACTGAAAGACAGCAAACTAGGCAATACCTCAGCTTATCCCCTCACGCCTGCTTGGCAAATGCCTAAACATCACAGCCATGAATAATTCATCCCTCCAGACTGGCTGAGCGTCTGTCCGTCGGCAACATTAGACGGGACACCGAAATCAGCCGTAGGGGGAACGTGTCCATCTGCTGTCATCTCCCTCAGCCGGCTCCGTCTCTGATGTAACAGGGGGGTAGAATTTTTAAAAAATAAAAATAGCACACATGACGAGCCGACGCATTAAAGTTTCATCCGGCTCCTTTCTCTTTACGCACATGACTGTATCCGCCGTGCATTATTGATGGCGGGTTCTGCCCCCCCCGGGGAGCGCCGTAAATCATTCATCCTGCCCCGTCATGTGACACGTGTCGCTGCCCTGTGCAGCCTGACCTCACCGTCTGGAGCTCCTCGCCGCCCCCTGCTGTGCGCGGCGGGTTTGCGGATCACTGGCTAACCAGGGCGGTGCGGCAGTGGTGGTGGGGGGCAGATGGTTTGCTGTTACGCGATTCTACCTGAAGCCTGGGCTTAAGGGAGAGCAGCTACGGGGGGGGTGAATGTTGGGGGCAAAAGCACTGCACTGCCCAGCCGGAAAGACACAGCTGAGGGACAGAGGGGCATGTGCTTTCTGGTAAGAGCAACAAAAGCACAACCCACACGTCGTGACTGGAGAAAAGGCTTGTGCTCTGCAGCAGTGCTTCTGGATGGAGTGTAACCCCTAACCAAGAAAAGGCTGCTCTGCGAGAGCCTGGATCTGGTCGGGAAGGCAGATCCACGTGACACATTAGACCGAGCGAGAAAGAAATGGGTTTCATTGGGGCTTTGGTGACATGAAGAGTTTGGGGAAACAGGATGAGGTCTGGCTGCTCTACAGCTTTAACGCTGGGCAGCAGGTGAACGAAAGGGCAGGTGACCTGACCTCACCCCCCACCCCGTGACATCAGTGTCCTCCTTTTTTTCATGCGCCACTGGATACTTAATTGTAAATCGCCCCAGCAATTATATGAATAAGTAATGGGTGCAATGGCACTCTGTGTAAACCACCCTGAACAGTGGTCTGCTCACACACAGCTAATGTATTATGGAATAACCCGGGCTATCAAGGATCCCTTCTTAAGCAGGTGAGCTGTACAGCCTTCTGGTGTCCCGTCTAAGGGTCTTAGGAAGCCTGTAACAGGCGGGTGCCATGGGGCCACAGAGATTTAAGTGGATAAACAGGCAGAAAACCACAGCCAGTCTGATCCCTGGATGACAGCCCCCCTGCCGACAAAATGCCACCTTGCCATTACAGACAGGCACTTGAAATGCAATGCAATGCAATTTTATTTATATAGCGCATTATCACATTACATTGTCTCAGTGCGCTTTACATTTCTGCCACGTAAGGACCCCCCAGTGAGTAAGCCAAAGGCAACGGTGGCAAGGAAAAACTCCCTAAGAGGAAGAAACCTTGGGAGGAACCAGACCCAAAGGGGGAGCCCATCCTCCAGGGGCCGGCAGATGGGTCAAATGCCCTCTCTAGCTAGAGGCTAGTGGGACGCTAATCACCAGGAAGGCAGCGCCTCCTAATGTCTGCTGTGATAATGCATTAAAACTCACAAGGAGGAGACCTGTGTACCATGGGGACACCACTATCATCTCCGACTGGATGCCAGCTGGTTGGGTCTTGTCTGAATGAAACACGCCCAATCACATTTCCCCCAGTTTCTGGTAGGGTGATGGCTCATTGGGTAGCACTGTGGCCTCACAGTGGTTGTGGGTTCATATCCCACCCTCAGCTCTGTATGTGAGGAGTTTGCAAGTTCTCCTCATAGTTCGGGTGGGTTTCCTCCTGGGATTCAGGTTAGCTACCGGCAATACATAAACGTGTCTGTGTGAACTGGTGTCCCTTATATCACCAATAATGTGCGAAATGTGTAAGCGTGTGCCCTGTGACTGACTGAAATCCCATCCCTGATGGCCTCCAGAAACACCGTGAATCACGCTGTACCGGATAATCACTTACGGAAAATTCATGGACGGATTGGATACTGAAATGCTGGAAAAAGATTCTGAGGAATCTGCAGTCTCCAAAACCAGTCATTAAAAAGAGGCCAGACCATAAGAGGACCGCTGGCACGTCACAGCGGTGTCGATACAAGGCGCTCACCGACGCCAGCCTAACCCGCATGGGTCTTATTCAGCGTCTTGTAACGAGGAGGAAAGCATTCTTTGCCGGCTCATTTAGCGAGTCGTCTATGGCTGCGGCACCGGCATCGCTTTCAGGGTGCGTCGCGTGAGACTGCGCACAGACCACCCATACAGCAAGGCGCCGCTCTGCCCATGAGCTGCGTTTCTTTTTTAATAATGCCATGTAGCTGTATCGATAGCAGAGACATGCATGGACAGACTTCTCCACCATGGAGGGCAAACACTACTGTATGTGAGAGTGTGAGGTGCGGAACGCCAGGCAGGCCTCAAATCCACCCTGAGCATCTCAGGGACGACTCTAAGAACCTTCCGACCTTCAGCGATGGTACCCAACTCTGGAAAGTTCAGTCAAACTAAATTCCAAGCCTGTGACATCGACTCCACGACTACCCGTTCCCTGGATGGCAGATTCAAGTACGGGACGATTCCGAGCACAGAACAGCTTCAACTTTCCTGTACGTTTCTGGAGGACTAATTACACACCACTTCCGTAATTGTGCGGATTATAAAGGCCTGGTGTCAGGCTTCCTGCCTCCACACAGATCTAGTCGTGATGCGATTAAAAGCGATGAAAAGTGACGTTAACAAAAAAAAAAACCCATTATAGCTCAGCACTGCTTTTCCTCTGAGCAGGAAACACGTTCCTTAGAGCAGACGAACAGCGACAGAAGAGAAATCTGCATATATCTGGCCTACATTTAGATATCACTGAGGTTCTGCCAGAGACTCACCGAAAAAGCCTGCTGTTTGTCAGACGGCAGTTTAAGTCACACTCACACTGTGATGTAACCTTGGGCTGGCTTCCGTGACGGTGACCTGCTGTTGTACTTTCAGGCTGAAGTAAGTTTTCCTCGGAAACAAGCGTGTGAGTCACACTAGAGCAGCGGGTTTTCAGTCACACGCGCTAACAAAAAGCTTCCGAAAAGCAGCCGTCAGCCATCTGGGTTCCACTCCGCTGGGCGTTTGTGGCACCGGTAAGCATTTGGAGACTGAAGGTGGGCAGGAATCGATCACGGGTCACAGGGGGGAGTTAACGTCGCCGGGGGCAACAAGAAACACCTCAGCTCTTTTGAAGGTCTTACCTGGGACAGGAGCTTGTTGTTGTCGTCTTCCAGAATCCGCACCTTCGTCTCGAGCTGCCGAATGTAATTCGACGATGAATCTGCGGGAGGGAAACAAACGAATGGGTGATGTCATAAACATTCCTCATTCTTATATCTGCTTGGTTATATAACAAGTATATTTACCCAAAGCTGTATATCAGCCCAATAAATACTCAAGAGTAGAACAGCAGCTCTCCTTAGTCAACCTCCATTATTATTTAAGCACCAGCTCCCAGATCACCGCCCATAAGGATTAACGATCAGCATAAGCAATAGCATCACCTACACATGTGTGATACTCTGTGTAATAGCCGTGGGTCTGGGATCTTCTCATGGTACTGGATGGTGAGACTTCAGGCCCTTTACGTGTGAGTCCAGGCTTCCCCATGGAACACAGCCTCGGATCTGTTCCCAGCAGTCCTTCGTGCTTAATCTCCTATAATATACCCTTCATCTCCATTGTTCACTCTACAGCGTGGAAGTTCTGCACTTTGCAAAGCCCTCAGCCCTAATCTTAAAATTGCTCCTTTTCTTTATAGATCAACCACAAATTTGACATTCGACACTTTTACCTGATATTCTCTGTTGTAAAACATTGCATTACTTTTAAGGTGTTTTTGAGCATTCTTTACAGAGAAGGGGTTTGAATTTCAGTCTGCATTGTCCATTTGAGTCCGCATCCTAATTATGTCACCGTATACAGCTGAATGAGTATATTACTTTAACATTCTTGATTATGCTGAAATGTTGTACACCTGTGTCAGATGTCGCCCAGGCATTGTGTGTGGAGGTCTCCCTATGTCCATGTCAGATGGGAGGCTACTCCTAAGCTCTCCATGGTCTGTGATGGTGTGTGTTACAGCGGCCTTCTGCCCTGTGCTTCCTGGGTCTTCTGGCTCCCCGAGACCCTGCAGGGCACACGCAGTCTGGCGGAGGTATTGGTGGATGTATGGAATGGAGAGAAACGCCTCCGTATTTCACACCCGACACCTTTTCAATTAAGCCTATGACATTTTAATGACACAATAATCGGCTAGGACACTGGGAACACCCTTATACAGAACATGACTGGTATGTCAGTGCATGACTAAGGACATGACCTGACGGAGAAAGTCACGGAAGACGTGTGAGCGCCTAACGGCTCGCTGGAAATGTTCTCCGAAGGGCTGTGGGTGAACACGCCCGTCCTGGATTTCTGCACTGGGCTCAGATGCTATTGGCTGCATGCGTGCCATAGATGTGAGACTGACACTGCTGCTTCCCTGCGGATTCACCCGCAGCCGGATGTGACCGGGTGAGCGCTGGGCACTCAAAGACCCCAGAATGTTCCCTCCCTTGTCGGGGGTGGGGGGCGGGGTTCCCCAGGGAGAAAATAATGAAGGGCGCAGAGACGCACGGGACTGAAAAGTGAGACGGTGAGTAAAAGGAAATGATGAGAGATGGAGAGTGGGAACAGTGGAGCAATAGAGAAGAGATGGACGGTGATGCAGAATGATGGCCCCTCCCCCCAAAAGCATGTCTCAGCTGGTAGAACCTCAATGACCAATTGCTCGGTCCACTGGAAACACCAAGTAATAGTGCTTAGGCAATGGGAACATTGTGCTTCACCCTTCAATGGCATATATCAGTTACAGTCATACTACACCCAACATTTTTCAATGCCTCACCACCAGGTGTCACTATTCTACAAACAATGCTAGCAACATTTTATTGACTTTTCTGAAGCCAAGCAAATGTCCTTACTTATCCTTCAAAACAAGTAACAGAAGTGACAGACTATAATACTCCTTATAATACTGACTTTTTAGGAGCACAAATGAAGGCACTGCACTGGGAGTCGGCAATCCTCTTTGGCTTTCTTGTGACGTGCTAATCTCAATACATCTGGCTGCCTGACCAGAAACAGGTTGCTGAGCTGATTAGGAGGAATCCCCGGCTGCCGCCACCAGTGCAGCACCGTCCGGCCGCGCCGCTGCCCCCACACGGCCTTGTCCTGAGAGGCGCTGCTCCCTCTGCCCGTCACAGTCTCAGAATAAGTATCAAAAGTATCCCTGCAACTTAATACCTGAATACAAAGGATTTTTTTGTCCCGATCATAAAAGAAGTATTTCCACAAATTAGAGTCTCGTTTTTGCACCTTAAAAGCACCACTCTTACTTGTTGTTTGATCTATTAAGACAGACCCCTTTTTCCTGCTCCCCAACAAAAACATTGTAACTCTATACTCTGTTTTATCTGCCTCTCTAGCTGGGACACCAACATATGGCTGTAAGCAACGTTAATTCAGAACAGCTACATCTCCACTTCACTCATAGTGAACAGATCCGCGGAACATGAGATGCTGTGCAAGCTTTAGTGCAGGAAAGTAGAGACATTTCCTTTGGTGAAGATCCCGAATGGACAGGGAACTGGCAATAAACTGTTAAAGTGCTGTTCCTTTGTAGTCCGTGGGAATGCAGAGAGGATTAGACAGCGCACCCCCTCCCTGAAAAACAAGTTCAGGAGCGCTCTACAGACAGCCGGCCCCAACAGCACACATGCGAGGCTCACACGGACGCTTAGGCCGGTGATGAGGATAATCGCTCAATCAGTTTAACGCCCCACTCCTGATGAAACCCGGAACGTAAATGCGGCCTGATAATTGAAATGTTGGGCTAGCTTATTTCCCCACAGGGGTGCCTTAAGTTCAGGTGGGGTTAAACAAAAACAATAAAAAGACACTGCCGTCTCAAAGTTACACAGGTCTTAGGCTAACTGCTAACACATTTAGCTAGCCAGTAGCATCTTTAGTGCCAATTCGGATTTGTTTTTCAGCTAAAGGTGCAACGTCTTTCCCGAGTAAACAAGGCTGTGTCAGTCTGTATCTTCATGGCCAGGCGTGCGTCAGGGTCTGACCCTCTCGGTTTGTCGCCTCTGATCACATCAGCGCCCCCGCCATGACCCACTTCCGCCCCCCACCCAACCCAGCTGATGCTACCAGCCCCTGGCGGAGTGCTGATGAGGTTTGCTTTGGGAGACGCCATATGGAGGGCTAGGGTCAAGCCTCCTGGGACAGCGTCAGCGTGCCAGACCGGAATGAAAAGGCGAAGGGGCCTCCTTAGATAATCAAATCAAACGACTGATCCCCCATCTTGACGACAGGGAAACACCACCCCCCGCACCCCCGCCCCTCCATCTTAAGAACCAACCAACTCCTTCACCAAAAAATAGCTGCATCTGTTCTCCATCTCTAGAAGTCAAACTTGTCTGAGGAGAAGAGCAGTCTGCCTGCATCTTGCAGGCTTGGGTGCTCCTGAACATACAAATGAGTTCACACTCAGTCTACAACGTAGGGAAAATCTGAAGACAAAGAAGAACACGCCTTCCGTTTTGAGGACTATTTAAAAAAATATAATATAATAGCTCAGCAGAGCTGAAACGCTCTTCCTCTTTTTAAAGCCTTATCTGCCCTCTTTCACTCAAGAGTCAATTTCGATGAGGAGGAGGTGCAGGGGAGGAGGTAGAAAAAACATGGGAGTTACAGGCCGTTGCATTCCTTTCTGGTGCGCTTGCAGTTTTTCAGCATGTGATCTGGCCCCTTCGTGCAGCAAAAATGAAATCCTGTTGGCCTCAAACTGAGTGACAGCCCATGATTGAAAGCAGAGCTTCTCTTTTCCTTTTAATCACCAGCAGAAAAAGGAGAAAAGATGGGGACCACACACCAGAAAGGAGCCGAAAATGAAATGCAGACCCAGGAGATCTCGAGGAGCAGAGGGCAATGGCGGGCACCTGGAACGTTCCCGGACGCGTGGCGTTCGTGCCTGACACGGGCACATCTCGCAGCAAACTTTCGGGCACGTTCCGTCTGTGCCAATACGACCAAACCCCGGCATTAGAGAGCAGATTAGCTAATACGGCAATTAGGAGGACTCTCGACGGGGTAGGTGCTGGCACGTCGGCAGGCAGGCAAATAAAAACAGGCAGATGTTGGTGAGAGGCATCGCTGCCGACGTCCTCCAGGTCACGCCGGGACTCGGACAAACTCCCTGGGCCCGCCGGGCAGCAGTGGCATGCCTGCTCTCGCACACCAAACCCTTGGCTGGCTTAAGAGGGATCTGCTCACGTGTCCCGGCAGCTTTGTCTTACTTGCCCGACAACCGGGGAAGCGGCTGAGGTCGTGTCGAGGCAGAGCCGGCGGTGTGAATGGCTTGTGAGTGCCGGTGAGCCATCATTATGGTTGCTCTCTCAGCACACAACACGGCCTGCTCTGCGCTGTTTGAACCCTTTCCATTGGTTTACTGATACAAACGCAATGCACAGCAACATAGAGCCCAATTTATCATCAATAAGTCCAGCCTTCGAGGAATAACTGAGGCTTGGGTATGGTTCTATAGGCCACCAAGGCAATGTAGCATTCTGTCTAATTACATATATAGTAAACTGTGCATTTAATGTGATGTTCCCACGCTGAGATCTTTCTGCTAACTAGGACGGGTTTCAGGTTTGCCACTGGCCAGATAAGTAGCCCAGTGGTTAGCATGGTTGCCTCAAACCTCTAGGACCAGGGTCCAAGTCACCGTCCATGTGCTACTGCGGGGTTCCCTGTTCCTTCTAGCGTTGATGTGAATGGTGTGTATGTGTGCCCTGCGATTGGTTGGCACCCCAACCCTGTTATTCCCTGTCTTGTGCCTGTAGCCTCTGGAATAGGGTCCCGTAACCCTGAACAGGACAAGCGGGTATATAAAGGACGGACAGATGCACGGACCCCAGTGTTTCCCAATCCGGGCCCCAGGGATCCGAAGACGGTCCACGTTTTTTTTGCTCCTTTTGGTAGCTGGGATTGAGCCAAAATGTGGTCTGTCTGGCAGAGAACTGGGAGGGAAAAAAACGTGGACCGTTGTGGGTCCCTGAGGGTTGGGAAATGGTGCCGTAATCCAATATAAAGCACTTGAAGGGGTTTATAGGAAAGAGTCAGGAGGCTGTTCACGTTACGTACTTTAAAACCAGCTCTGTCTGTTAGTCTGAAGTAAAAGGTAAGTAAAGTTAAGGTCACCCGCTCTGTTTCCAGTCACACATTCTA